TATCTGAACGTGCTCCTCCCGAACTTTGTTAATAAAACATCATTTCACCTGTGTTCAATTAATTTAGTCATTAGTCCTTCTCTTGCGTTTGTATTTATACTCCCAGTTCTGTTCTCTTCTTTGCCAGTTATTGTTTTGTTCGATTGTGTTTTGTGCTACTCCCTGCTTCTGGATTCCTTGTGTTTACTTTCCTGTGGATTTATTATTAAAAGACTGTTTCTTCGATTTCTCCTTTGTCGTGCGCTTGTATAGTACAGAACCATGACAAGTTAAGGTTAGCTCTTGATTAATACATGCCTTAATTTATTATTAGTTCATATTAAAGTAATATTAATTTCAGTATTAGTACATTATTATTCATGTACTGTTATTGTAAAGTGTTACAGATATTTCTTAAATGTTATTAATTATTGTGATTTAACTGTCATTGTAGTTTTAGTAGACTGCTGTGTGCTGGGGCTGCAGTCTCAAACTATTGATCAAAGTGAGTTTATTTTGTTTCTGTTTAGCATGAATAATATGCAAATTTTATAATCAAATCAAATTTTGCCTTTTTGTATTTTGTTATACTGTATATGTATTGTGTATATATGTATTGGTATAACACTTTTCTTTGTTTTGAGTGTTTGAATGCACAGTTGATTTAAGGTCAGCCACAAGGACTTGTTCCCTTCTCTTGCTGATGTTGACATTACTGTAGTCTTTGTTACAAATAATGTGGTTATTTAATTATTAAACTGTTTAGATTGTTTTTAAAGTGTTTACAGTGGAACAAAGGTTGATGTCTTGTATTGTAAAAAACATTTGTATTGAGTTTATGCCATTCCTTCTGAGGCTTCAAAGCTAGAGTCCTGCTCATCATTAAACGCTAGAATGAGACGGTCTAGTAAGTGTGCATGGATACATCATAAATGTTTCTGGCCCCATGGTCACGGCACGTAAATACTATTAAAATTATAATTTAAATAATAATTTTTGTTAAAAATCTTTATATTAACTGACTTTTTATTAATGCAATGGATGTAATGAATACTGTCTGTGGTCTCCCAGTGGTTTACATTATGCACATTTTAGCATTATGTGATTAATTTACTACAAAACTCTATAATAATTTTTACTTCCAAAAAATCATAATGAAATTGAACTCTGTGCCAAATCATTTTCCGCGAATTATTTTTCATGAATTGGAATGTGTGCAAAGGACTGTGGGTGATAGAATGATGCGTAGGATACACCTGATGCATCCCTTAAAATAAGCCAAATGAAGGACACAAAATGAAGCCTGCCTACTAAAGATCTTTCACACTGAGACATCCTTCAGTGGAGCTTGATGACGTGGCAGCCGAGATATGCAGTCCTACTAGGATGCATCCTTTTGATTGAAAAGCACACACATAAATGTAATTTTACTCCTTTTAGTGTAAAAAGAAAAATAAGTGTGTACTCACACTCAGGGCTGGAGTGGGACTCATTTTCAGCCCTGGAGTCTCATGCCTACTTTTTCCTTTTCTTTTTTTTTATCTATTATTAATGCAATGGATGTAATGAATACTGTCTGTGGTCTCCCAGTGGTTTACATTATGCACATTTTAGCATTATGTGATTAATTTACTACAAAACTCTATAATAATTTTTACTTCCAAAAAATCATAATGAAATTGAACTCTGTGCCAAATCATTTTCCGCGAATTATTTTTCATGAATTGGAATGTGTGCAAAGGACTGTGGGTGATAGAATGATGCGTAGGATACACCTGATGCATCCCTTAAAATAAGCCAAATGAAGGACACAAAATGAAGCCTGCCTACTAAAGATCTTTCACACTGAGACATCCTTCAGTGGAGCTTGATGACGTGGCAGCCGAGATATGCAGTCCTACTAGGATGCATCCTTTTGATTGAAAAGCACACACATAAATGTAATTTTACTCCTTTTAGTGTAAAAAGAAAAATAAGTGTGTACTCACACTCAGGGCTGGAGTGGGACTCATTTTCAGCCCTGGAGTCTCATGCCTACTTTTTTCTTTTCTTTTTTTTAATCTATTATTCGCTCGCATATCTCCTACAACTGAGGTTTTTGTTTTTGTTTTGTTTTTTGAGCAAGGTGCCACTGTCAGGGGAGTCAAAAGATAATTACATCATCATTAGGGTTGCCAACTAACTTCATAAATGGAAAATAAGGGCTAATTGTGATTCTTTAAGAAAATAGTGTTTATTCTTGTAGAAAATAAGTGTTTATTCTTTAAGAAAATAAGGGGCAGAATAAGGGACGATCCAAATATTTGTACTGTACAATAATGTAGGCCTATATCAGCCTGCAGTTAAAAAGTTCTCAGAAATAATTACATTTGTTTTGCTTAACCCATTTATGTACAATTATTCAAAAAAAAAAATTGTATGTCATACAAAAAAATTAAGTACATTTTACCATTATAGAATTGTGACTTTACAAGGGATGTAATTTAGGAGGAGAAAATACTGTGAAATCACAAATGGCATCGGATTTGAAAGCATAACAACTGAAGGTCTATGAAACATCAGTCAATAGAGCATTTTTTTTAAACAATGGCACTTAAAGTTTTGAACTAAAATATTGTTTCAACCATATAGCCTGTGAATGAATAAAAATGCATACTTTTCAATGAAAGAACACTTAGGGTGTAGGTTGCTTCTGGTGCTTCGATTTGTACTTCAATATAATGAGGTCCAAGTTTAAAAATAGACTAGTTTTTTTTTTTTTTCTCAACGTATTTTTTTCTCTCTCTATTTAACAGCATTAACTTACAATGAAATACGTCTTCGTTCAGGTAGAACGAGGTTTTCCTGCCTTGCTAAATGTTGGACTCATGATCAATAAGTTGCATTCGCCCAAACTGATTTTTTAAAATCAAAACGCGGACAGTGCACCTGGGTGCAGCTCGCTGTGAAGCGGGAGCAGCCGGCAAAGGATTCCGCTTGGTCTTAAAGCCTTCCTTCAAACGCCTACGTTCACAAATAACAATGATTTTCGCAAAAAGAATGATTAATTATCAATTGAGAATTTGTTATTATTATGGTCTGGTGAAAAATAATAATATGGGCTGCGAGAAAATAATAAATAAAAAGAGTAGGGCTGCTGTGAGTGCAGGCAGCATATTTCAACCCAGTAGCATGACAACACAC